TTTTTTTTCGAATGTTGCGCTGTTTCTTCTTTTTGGGTTTTGCATAATTACTTTAGAAAAATAATATTTATCTTTATAGCTCCGGCTCATGCCTCGGAATATTGTTAACTAACATATGACATCAGTGAATCAGACGCTAGATGACGATAACACGCATGTACAGGAGTTGAAACGGGTGAGTATTTCTCATCTTTTTTCTCCAGCTTCTGGTAAATTCCTTATTTTTCCGTTATTTTTTCGCTTCAACTCGTAATGTTGAACATCACAAGTGCATCAATGCATTATAGTTCGCCTAACGTACATTGTTACCATATGAACAGCATTGAACAAATACATCAGTGCTCTTATCATCATCGTGTTGTGTAAACAACATACTCGGTCTTGCGTAAATGTTGTGGGTCTGTTGACGATTGAACGATCGTTATGGATCCGTGAAATACTGTTGAAGATTGAACTAATAAGTTTTCGGTAGCTACGCATGCGTAAGATGATTCTAGTCGCGCATATTTTGAAAATCAAATCTAATTGGTTTTCTTGTTGTTTTTTTTTTGTCCAAAATGGTACACGGATTTATTGCTGGTGATTCGGTAGCTTAGGCTTCCCTGCATTGGTTTGGCTTGACTCTGTCTTCGCAATCACCCAAATAGGCTAATAAAGATTCTGTGTCATTTACCGAGTCCCCCTTTCTCGCCACATTTGTGATCGGCTCCTAGATTCGTGTGGAGGCGGGTTGCAGACTTCTCCTGATTATGAGGTTGAAGTTAATGAGAGAGTAGGAAAAACGATGCTGTAACGTGGAGGTTTAACAAGTTTATCCTTGTAATCAGGGAAAGTTCGCAATCCGCCTCATACGAATCTGGGAGCCGATTATTTATGATGGTACCTTGAATGATGTGCATTTCATGTCAGTGCTGCCAAGCAATGATTGTTAGTGGGAGACTTTTAACATGGCGAATAGTGATGGCAGCCCTCTTAGTACACAAAAATAAATCAACGGTAGGAAGTTAAGTGTCTGGCTGTGCACTTTGTGCAAGAATCGTATTTGATGTGTCATCAGAGCGGTTAGCAAAATCATCAGGCTAGAAAGAATGGAAGAAGAAAAGGCTTTTATGATAAAGTTTCGAAAGTGTCACATTCTCCATTTTCAGTTGTTCCTTTCGAGCAATGTAGACGAGAATCAATGCCTCAATGCGGATGGGCTTTTTCTATTGTGCGAAAAGTTGAAGCTAAGCGCTTTTGCGAAAAGCATCACCGAACGAGTATTGTGTGGAGCAGATACTGTAGATTTTTATGTAAGTGCTTTACTTTTCTTGTGTTAGCTTTTCATTCGGTTCCAGTCGCATAGGGAGTGTTCCAGGATTTCAAAGAACGATTTGTTTCTTATTTACCGGAAATAATCGACGTATCATCGGGTACAGTTGACCCTTTACTGGCACGTGCACAGGATACAGCGAGAACATTAGGATACGGGGATGGACAAAGGTTGGTGCCCAACCATATTATGTTTTGCTTGTTGAATAATATTCGATGAATAGCATTTACCTTGAAACACTTTTGAAAGTATTTTTTGGCAAATACTTGTGGCAGTTGTATGATGCTGCAGCAGGCGAACTTTGTTGTAGCGTTGATTTTGTGATATCAGAAATTTACATATTCGCAACTGATCGGATTATACAAATGAGAGTAGGTTTTGAAGCCAGAAAGAACTGTGCGTTTTGTGATGGTACATACACTTGCTGATAGCACATTCCAAAAAGCGTTGTTAAATTTCGGTTCGATAACACTTTCGATTTCTCAGATTGGTTCTTTAGTTGTTTCGGTGAAATTGATGATAGATGGGAATTCTCTCATGATCCAGTTTTTATCTCTTGACGGATTTCAACACTAACATTGTTGTTTTTTGTTTCTATCTTTCGTTTGATCTGATATCCTTGTCTGTCTTGTGCCGCACAGTCAAAAATTTTTTAGTGAACGTTCGCAGGGAGCTCCTTTAGTATGAGAATAATTGGGCAAGGATAACTCAAGAATTTTCTTCAAAAACTTTGAATCCGTGCGCTGAGCTCGAAAATTTTTTCTGTTGAGATCAAACCGTAATTCAACTCAAGCCTTTGTACAAGGCACACGTCTTTTTTCATATGTTCTGTGCCGCTATGTTCAATTTTGCGAGTGCGATCGGTGTTTTTCAGACGTTTTCCTTTATGGAATTATCAGTAAATCTTGCTCTGTACGGATGATGCTTCCAGGCTGACCCGGTACGAAACGCGTTTGCTATGCGAAAACACCACAGACCTTGTTCAACTGTCCGTCGTCGACATAAATGGCCTTTTCGAGCGGGCAGACGTAGAACGGACTGGACGGGTATCTGTACAGCAATTTCTTGCGCAATATCGACTTCAGAAGCGACTTAGTGCTGAGGTTTTATTTGCGTTTTGCTTTTTACTGATTATACGAATGGGGTAACCTAATGAGGCACATTGCAGGTCCATTTTATTGCTGATTCGTTCGTTTCTTCGCTCAATCTCTTCGAAGCTCTTGACTCGACAAATTCGGGGTGAGTTGCAGCGAGTAATCTTATACAAGGTGGTTTTACATTCCCATCTCAACCTCATCACTTTTAGTACTATTGATTCTCACGATTTGCTGGAGTATTGGAACAAAGCTGGGCTTCGGATAGATGAAGGCATCGCTGTTCTGAAGGTAATTTCTTGCGATAAGACCAGTCGAATTCGAAATGCGATAGAATGTTGGCACGCGTCTGAAACTGAAGGCCACCGAGGTCGTTCCGAAAAGTTTTGTGTGGATCCGCGATCGCGATGTTTTATAGCCCAATTTGTGTGTATCGTGATTGTGGTGTTGTGCATCAGTGGTGAGAAGGAAATACGTTACGATTAGAATCTCTCGGAAGCGAATTGCTCTTCTTTTGAACAGCGCTAGAGAATGGAAGGATTTGGACTTGCCCATTAAAGTAGCCATGTGTTTGCTAGCAAATCGTGACCTTTGAAACATATGCTTGCACATTTTTTCAACTGATGCGCAGGAAATCAAATGCTCAAAATCTGCATGAGATTGAATTTTTTAACGAAACGAATTGATAGAGATATTTTTTGTTCTGAAATGC